ATCACACGCCTCGCCAAAGAGAAGCAGTTCCAGCCATCGCATTAGGGGCGAGTTAATTAAATGTTTGACCAAATATCACAGGCTAATTTTTAAGTTGATAATTTTGTATGGCCCTCGAATGATGTTATAAATATCCAAATGGCCCTTGACACAAGAAAGGTTCCCCACCCCTGATCTACACATTTCTCTGCGTGTATTTTGCTTCTACCACCGTGGAGTCTTCCAGCCTGCACTGGTTTTCCTGGCACGCCGAGTTACTCCCGTCAAGAATACGCAAACAGCACACAGCGTCTGTGCCTATCCAAAACAAAAACCCGTCAGCGATTCCTGCAGAGACTGCTTTGTTAGTCTTTCGATTTAAAGCTTTCATGACTGCAGGGATTCATCTTCTTGTTTCTTTCGGTAAAGTCACGTAGAAGGGAAATAAAAAAATAAAAAAATAAAATAAAATAAAAAATATGTTTTATTTTTATTATTTTATTACTTCCCTTCTACGTGACTTTACCGAAAGAACCAAGAAGATGCTTTGTTAGTCATCTCGTCTCATACCTGTCAACCCCTTATCAGTGCCCTACCTCATTACATACCAATTCAGACCTTACTGGTCACCCCGTGCCCTTATAAATCTCAACGTTCATCTCACAAAGTCCCATCACAAGGGAGAAACACAAAAAATAGGCGCAAACTAAATTGACCGTTTTGAAACGGCTGTACACCGCATGGACCCGAAAACTCAATTTCCCTGCACAAGAATACGGAGCAAACCGTATGGGTTGACAGCTTTATTGTCCGCAGTCACCATCAATATAAAGTTGAGCAAATGTGGCCAAAGGTTAGCCAGAGATGGGGCAACTGTGGACCGGCTTCATCCCCGTGTTAGGACTCATCGGCACACCGCAGTGACCGGTGCTTAGTGACGCGGAGGTTCTCATCTGGACGCCGCCGGATGTGGAGGCCCCCCACTACACTCCACGCCCTGTTCGGGCTCATCAGCACGGCCGGCCACGCGTTTATGAACTCCACTTTTAACCCTCCTCGCACCCCCCCCACCCTCTCTTCACTTTTCTCTCCCAGCATCCTCCTTTTCTCCCCCCCCCAACTCAATGTCTTCACATTTTCTCCACCTCGGCTCTTCTCTCGCTTTTCCTTAGGAACGAATTGGGACTCGGGCAGCCGCTATTTTAGTGCCGACGCTGTTCCCTGTCGTCTTAAAATGTCACCTTTTAAAAAAAAAGTTGACAACTGCCCCCCCCCCCCCCATTCACCTCCCTCCCTTCCAGTCTTCCAATTGAACGTTAAAAAGCTGCCGAGATATTTGTCGACCCACCACCACCATCACCACCACCTTCACCACCACCATCCTCATCAACAGCAGCAGCAGCAAGCAAGCAGCGGCTGAGCCTGCTTCTGCTGCTGCTGGAAACGACGTCTTTTGTGAGCCGGGGATTCTTTTTCCTTTTGTCGCAGCCTCGCCTGGTAAACAGAAAGGTGTTTGTAGAAACTGTTTGTACAGGTGGAGCTCGAGGCAGGTAGCCCTGCTAAGTAGAGTCGGCACGCACGCGCACACAAAGACAAAGTTCCCCACCCCCGCCGTATAGCCTTAACAGACTGTTGGGGCAAGTGCTGTTCGCGAGTAGCTGCTGTGAAGGCCGGAATGGCACGCGAGAGGGTGACTGGCCAGCACCACGCCCGGCCGCCTTTGTCTCCCCAGTGGCGATGTTTACTACACACTGCACCAGGTACTCATTTGAGGCTGAGTCGACCTAGGGGAGGCCCAGGACCAGTTCGAATAATGTTCACTGGTGTTGGCCGTGAGCGGGAATCGAACTCGGGTCGCGCTGACCGCTCCACCGCTGCCGCCAAACCTCTCTCCTGCCTCGGACTCGTTCCAGCCGCGTGGTTCTTCCTCTCCTTGTCACCGCGGGACAAACAGCGCAGCCAACAACCAACAGCGAATTCACCCCCCCCCCCCCAAAAAAAAAATGAGCGTCGACGTTATAAGTGCTTGCCTCCCGTTCACAGCCCCCACAGAGCCGGCGGTGGAAATTCCACATTGCCGTGACGGGGGCGAGTCCATCCGTGGTACAACGGCGTTATTATGTGATGCTGCTGCAGCTGCTGCGTTAGCTGTGGTGCACTTGCGGACCGTGACCGTGTCCCCTGGTGAACTGTGACCCCTGGTGGACCGTGACCTCTGGTGGACCATGACCTCTGGTGGACTATGACCACTGGTGGACCGTGACCTCTGGTGGACCATGACCCCTGGTGGACCGTGACCTCTGGTGGACCGTGACCCTTGGTGGACCGTGACCCCTAGTGGACCGTGACCTCTGGTGGACCGTGTACCCTGGTGGACCGTGACCTCTGGTGGACCGTGACCCCTGGACAACCGTGACCTCTGGTGGACCATGACCCCTGGTGGACCGTGTACCCTGGTGGGCTGTGACCCCTGGTGGACCGTGACCTCTGGTGGACCGTGACCTCTGGTGGACCTGACCCCTGCCCGCTGCCACTGGCAGTGAGGTCTGCCTCTCCGTGGCGCCAGTGTCAGTGAGGTTGGGTCGCTCCTCTCTGTGGTTTTAAATTGTCAAGGCGTCCCCCGCAGCTCGTTACTGCGCTTGGATCAAAAGCCAAATATTTGCAAAGCCGTGAAACTTCACAGGGACCGGCGGTTTGATTGCGCTTGGGCTGCACGGTCCGCGTGGCGTTGTGTTCATAGTGCCACCTCCTGCAGAGTCTGTTAAGCCAAATACATAGTTGACTTTTGCCATTTACAATAGCGGAGGGGAATTATATTTTGGCAACAGCATCAAAACATTGTGTCGCTCATTTTTTGGACAACTTATTCCTGTGAGTGCAAAGCCTGCGATGAAGATTCTGCGTTCGGGGGCCGCTGCGTCTTTTGTATCCGGGACTCCGGCCATGCTGGTTCACAGCTTGAGATCGCTTTTATTATTACGCCTTTTTCCACTGCACATCCGAGCCGCGCCGGGCGGTTTCCACTCACGTCACACGCACAGCGGACGAGCAGCGACACGTGTCGGTGATGCGCGGTGACAGCCTGATGGTGCTGGTTGTTGTAATTACCGGTGAAACGTCACGGTACTTGAATTGTAAATGCTGTTATTGGTTCGCTCTTAAACACACTGGTGTGCTGAACTAATAACGAATGGGCATGTTTTGCTACATTACAAACCTTACTAATTGGCTGTGTCGGGTGGTGGCAGGTTTAACGACACGTTTATATTTACTCGATCTAACCGAAAACAACCCTCTATTATGGATGCTACCACCATGTTTACTCTTTCCCTGAGCTTTACACATCGTGTTCTCCACCCGTGTTGAGTCTACCGGACACTGGCTGATTCATCTCATCCACCAGCTCAACTCACCGACACACTGACTCAATCACTCAGTCACTCCCTCACCCACTCACCCACCCACAAACCCAACCACTCACTCACCCACTCACTCACCCACTCACCCACAAACCCAACCACTCACTCACCCACCCACAAACGCAACCACTCACTCACCCACTCACTCACTCATCCACAAACTCAAACACTCACTCACCCACCCACAAACCCAACCCACTCGCTCACCACTCACCCACCCACAAACCCAACCACTCACTCACCACTCACCCACCCACAAACCCAACCACTCACTCACCCACCCACAAACCCAACCACTCACTCACCCACTCACTCACCCACTCACCCACTCACCCACAAACTCAACCACTCACTCACCCACCCACAAACCCAACCCGCTCGCTCACCACTCACCCACAAACCAAACCACTCACTCACCCACCCACAAACGCAACCACTCACTCACCCACTCACTCACTCATCCACAAACTCAAACACTCACTCACCCACCCACAAACCCAACCCACTCGCTCACCACTCACCCACCCACAAACCCAACCACTCACTCACCACTCACCCACCCACAAACCCAACCACTCACTCACCCACCCACAAACCCAACCACTCACTCACCCACTCACTCACCCACTCACTCACCCACTCACCCACAAACTCAACTACTCACTCACCCACCCACAAACCCAACCCGCTCGCTCACCACTCACCCACAAACCAAAGCACTCACTCACCCACTCACTCAACTACACCGCGGGTCACGACACTCTCAATTTCTTCCCTCGCGCCGCCGCTCCGCTCTGGAATTCCCTCCTCCCACCCACCGCTCCTCCTTTGTCCCAAGCCCAAACACCGAGCAGCGACGAACCTCGCTGAATTCACCACTGGCCCTGCGCCCAGCACACCCTCAATCTGAGACCGCAACGTCAACGGTCGCCCGCTCGTCGCTGGCCCCCTGTGGGCCCTCTGCGCCCAGCGGCTGCGTCGTGAAACTGGAGGCGAACGGCCCCTGGGCTGGGCCGACGCTCGCGTTACAGTGCCGAGAAGCGGTGTCGCAATCCGCGCCGAGGTGACGCGTGGAGAGTTTGTTCACTTGAGTGGGGGCGCAGGCCCGGACTTGCCGGCCGATGGAGTGCCCTGTGCGTGTGTGTGCATGTGCGCGCGCGTGAGTGTGTGCGCGCGTGTGTGTGGAGGGTGCAGCCGGTGGTGTAGCGGCAAGCGCTACGCTGCGGCTACGAACCTGGTGACCCCGGTTCGATTGCCGTTCACGGCCAACACCGGCGACGATTATCCGAACCGGTCATGGGCTTCCCCTAGGTCGACTCAGCCTGAAATGAGTACCTGGTGCGGTGTGAAAATATCCCTACTGGGGAGACAAAGGCGGCCGGACGTGGTGCTGGCCACCCACCCCCTCGTGTTGCGGCCTTCATAGGTCCTTGCCCCAACAGTCTGTTCATAGGCTATATGGGGGTGGTGGGGGGGTGTCTTTGTCCGGGAGATGCTTGCACGGCAAATCGCCCCCCGCACCACGGCACCCGCCAATGATACGACACTTCCGTTGCTAATCGGAGTTGGTGCGAGGGAAGGACAACAAGCGAAACGCAGCAAGGCCAGCAAAGCCGTGATATGATTGGGAGGCGGCGATACGGAGCGGTCGGTCGTGTGATTGATCGTGCGCTGTCGGGTGTGTTCCCACATCTCTAACTCGTGGTAACTGACGAATAGTGCCCGAAAGCCACAAGTCCAAACAACACACATACACACGCGTGTACGATAAGAAAAAGCAAGCACACAGCCTCCGTGCATTGTGCAAACAACCGTCGACGCTTTATGAAGGACTGCGCCGTGGTGCCCTTGCGCCAGGTCACCAGCGCCTGCCGGTCGTTCAGTCATTGATGTTGATGGTGGCATGCCGGTCGTTCAGTCAGGCCCTGTCCACTCGACATTGATGGTGGCCTCAAGGTGAAACGACCACGAGGCAAGTTCTGTTTCCCCAGGCTGGCCAGCAACGCGACGTTCGTGCTGGGCACCGTAGCGGAGGGCGCCCGCGGCTCGGAGCTGGTGCTGCGCGTGGCGCGGGAGTGCGACGCGGAGCGGCGACTTCGTGCCGGCGGCGGTGACTATGGCGGCAGTGGCCTCCTGCAGCAGCTGAGCGCCATGCTCGGCTGGCAGCAGCAGCACGATGCCGTCACGAATGCTGCCTGGCACCCTCGGCACCCTGGTAGGTGCGCTGGCAAGGAGATGTTCACTCCCTCGCCTGATGTAGAGGATGTCATGGATTCGATGCCGACCCTGACGCCTGCTGTGTATTTGGAGTTTGCGTGTCTCTTTCTCTCTCAGTGGTCGTGAGGATTTTCCTCCACATTTAGAATCAGCATCACGCATCTAGAGCATTTGAACTTTCATTTGTGGCCAGGTCGCTTCTGCAAAAGAGCTACATAGTGCTCAGTGCGTCTTACCTGGTAAAAAAAAATTTGTTAAATAAAAAATACACTGTGATACTTCACAATTCACCTGCGTCTGACTATGGGGCCAAGCAGGGCCAGGGGCGGGGTTCACGGAGCCTTCATTGTGCGTGACGTCGGTCGGTACACGGTGAGGAAGCGGCTTCACCACGCGTCACCCGCACGCGATGAGCGAGTGGCGTTACCAGGTAAGGCGCACTGAGCACTATGTAGCTCTTTTGCAGAAGTGACCTGGCCACAAATGAAAGTTCAAATGCTCTAGAAGCGTGATGTTGATTCTAAATGTGGAGGAAAATCCTCACGACCACTGAGAGAAAAAGAGACACGCAAACTCCAAATACACAGCAGGCGTCAGGGTCGACGTCGGCGGGAGTGGAACACCAACCTGGCGCCGGGCCGGCTCGGAGGTGTCGGTGGTGACTGTCGTCATCGTTGTCGTTGTTGTTGTTTAGGCCGAGAGTGCGGCGGGGAGGGAGTGGCTGCTCTCCGAGGGCTGCGTGGACATGGTCATCGAGCAGGTGACGGCGCTGCTGGGCGGCCAGGCCGGCTGGGCGGCGAGCAACGCCGCGCTGGTGCTGGCGCGCATCTCCATCAGCGAGGCCGGGTGCCAGCGGCTGCTCGCTCACCGCGACGCCGCCGCCACCCTCCAGCGGCTCGTCCAGTCCCTCAGCGTGGACAGCACAGGTCACGTAACGCGCGGCGCCTACGCGGCCAACACCGTGACTGCCGCCACCGCCACCACCACCGCCGCCACCACCGCCACCACCACCACCGCCACCACCACCACTGCCACCACCACCGCCACCGCCATCGCCACCACCACCGCCACCACCACCGCCACCACCACCTCCACCACCACCGGCACGCCACATCGATGCCTGCTGCATGCGTGCATGTGTGTGTGTGTGTGTACATGTATGTGTACATGTACACACACACGTACACACAGTGGGGAGCGGTAGTGTAGCGGTTAGCTCTACGCTGCGCTCTGAACCTGGCGACCCGAGTTCGATTCCCCTTCACGGCCAACACCAGTGACGATTATCTGAACCGGTCCTGGGCCTCCCCTAGGTCGACTCAGCCTCAAATGAGTACCTGGTGCGGTGTGTAAACATCGCCACTAGGGAGACAAAGGCGGTCGGGCGTGGTGCTGGCCACCCACCCCTCGTGTGCAGTTGCGGCCTTCATAGGTGCTCGCTAACAGCACCTGCCCCTACAGTCTGTTAAGGCTATATGGGGGATCTTTATCTTTGTACACAGAGCAGTGCAATCCTTCGTCCCACGGAAGTGAATATCACAGAGCTACCTCTGAGACCCCTTCGTGAGTCACACTCTGGTCCCACACACAGTGGAGGGCAGCACTTTCTCACTTGCGCTGCATACGGGAGAGAAAAGTGCGTCACTTGACAGTCAAACCGGTGTTTTTCGATCCTCAGAGCGGCAATTTTGAGCAGCGCCAAATTTTCAACGTCATGGGGGATTCGATGTGCAGTGATTGCGATGGGCATATTGTCAACTGTCTTTGAGTTGGTGGCCTCGACAAGGCGGAGAGTCTTGCGCATGCAATGCGGTGGTCACTTGGCACGCATGCAAGGCATGATGGGGAGTCGTGCCTTCCTGCCGTCTGTGAGCAGCAGCAGCAGCAGCACCTTTGCACGTGGTTAATTTCTGTTTGGCGATCGTGCTGAGACCTGAAAGTCCACTGCACTTGAGAACCACCCAGTTTAGCCGCAGTGGTGGTGCCGCCAAAGCCCGGATTGGAACCAAGCATCTCGGCGATGCCGCTCGGCACTCCGGCACGCTAACAGCACTTGCCCCAACAGCCTGCTAAGGCTACACGGATGACCTTTGTCGTGCGTGCGCAGGCTGTGGGATGAACGCCGCGTTCGCCTTGGGCCGACTTTGTGACCTGCCCGCCGGCCGAGACCGTCTCCTGGGTCTGGGTCAGGCCGACAGCATGGTACATGTGACTAACATGTGACTGGTGTACATGTGCGTGTGTGACAACTGCGGCAGCGCTACGCTGCGCTACGAACCCGGCGACCCGAGTTCTGTTCCCGCTCACGGCCAACTGCAGTGACGATTATCTGAACCGGTCATGGGCCTCCCCTAGGTCGACTCAGCCTCAAATGAGTATCCGGTGTGCAAACATCGCCAATAGGGAGACAAAGGCGGCCGGGCCTGGTGCTGGCCACCCACCCCCTCGTGTGCCGTGCCGGCCTTCATAGGTGCTACTCGCTAACAGCACTTGCCCCAACAGTCTGTTAAGGCTATACGGGGTGTCTTTGTCTTTGTTGCACTGTGTATGAGCGCCGTCCCACACGGAGTGCGCGCAGTAGTCACCTGTTTGCTATTAGCTGCCCGTGTTATTGTGACTTTCAGCATCAGCTGTTGTGTTGTCAGGGCCGGGTGTGTTGAATATTTTTTCCGCACAAGCCTTGTGAATTTAATTGTTCCAATAATCACAAAACACTCTAAGTTCAGCAATAGAAGCACACGTGTTTCTCCGTGTGTGTGTATCTGCGTGACCCACGCACAACGGAAACCGTATCTCTTTAAACAATTCCTTACGGTCGTATTGTTTTCAAACGCTTCTGACACGATCCTAAATCGCGTCCCCAGCTTTTACCGACCGTGTGTTTATTTAATATCGCAAGTTGATTTTTTTTCGGGTCAGATCACGGCGCGAGTACAGCGAACGCCGTATGCCCTCTTCCACCCGGCACGGCCCGTCAATAAAGTAGCCGCGTGAACGAGCGAGTGCCAGCGTACGACTGCTTCACATTTCTCGGGGCCTTTTACGCCCGCGGTCAGCCCACGCTGGATTACGAAAATATGGAATTGGCACGACGCATAATAATAATAAAAAGCAACCACTCGATTCTCGCGCCACCACCGTCTGCCTGTCTTGGCTGCTCGTGCCGGACACCGCGACACCGCGTCCCTGATCCCCTCGCGCCCTGCGCAGATCTCGGCGCTCTCCGCCATGGTTTGCCACGGCGACCTCGGCTCCGGCAAGAACGCCTGCTTCGCCCTGAGCTGCCTCGCGTCGGACGCCGCCGGCCACGACCGCCTGTGCCGCCACCGCGGCTTCCCGGCAACGCTCGACCGCCTCGCCGCGCTGCTGGAGGCCGAGGAGCCCGAGGCTGCGTGGTTCGCTGCAACGTACGGGAGCGCGGACACGGGGAACCCCTTCCGTTGTCATAACTGCGCGGAAAACCGATGATGCGCACGCGGATAATTACTAACTCTCCAGGAGTGTGCGACTGTGGTCATCCAGAACAGAGCGTACGTATCTTCTTGGTTCTTTGGGTAAAGTCACGTAGAAGGAAAATAATAAAATAATAAAAATAAAAATAAAATAATTCTCACGACGTTTCGGCCACAACGCATGCAGCCACCTGAAGACGGCTGCTTGCGTTGTGGCCGAAACGTCGTGAGAATTATTTTATTATGTTTTATTTTTATTATTTTATTATTTTCCTTCTACGTGACTTTACTGAAAGAACCAAGAAGATGAATCCCTGCAGTCACGAAAGCTTTAAATCGAAAGAGCAGTACGTAGTCCGACGTATAACGATGCCAATGCCCCGATCTACAAATACGAAGGAGACATCGCGGCGATACGCTCTCCGCTGCTCCTTACGCGATTGTCTCGCTAAACCAATTGAATGAGAAAGTTTAGTTTTTTTCTCCGTGTCCACATCGGCCGTACGACAGAGGAATACGACTGTTGTGAGCACGGAGGAGTTTTACGTTCATACCTCGCGGAAACATTTTCCAAAAATCTGAAAAAGTTTGGATATTGTCCTCTAAAAAATTGGACAATTTGAAAATCTGAAACGTTTAAATCCAGCACTCAAAGAATCATTCTAGAAAGGCAAATGGAGGGCTCTTGCACATGTCTGACTATGAACGTGGTTTTGACAACTGGGAAAGTTGTAGATTCCACAAGAAGCCGGGTAAGACAGCGAATTCAGTTACGTCAGCAATTGTTCACAGTTGCACGCGACCGGGCGGAGTATACGCGACGCAGAGTTGTTGAGCGAACGTCACGGACAGAGCTGGGTGGAGGGTAGCCCACGACCGCCGCCGACGTCTTCGAGGACAGGATTGCGGCGAGGAAGGAGAGGCGTTCGATAACAGCGTGGCTTGAGAAACGTCGGTGCGCGACGTCCGCATGTCGCGCGGCAACTGGCGGGCGAAGGCCCCCGGGGCGAGTGCGGCGACTCCATCAGCTCGCCCCCGCTGTGTTGCGCAGGTTGCTGAGGACGCTGGCGAGCCAGCCAGCTGGGGTGGTCTCCCTAAGGGCCCACCCGACCCTCCAACCCACGCTGCAGGTACTTGACACCCGCTCGAAGGCGCCATTGCCTCCTGTGACGAGAACGCGTGCAGGCCATCGCTCGTTGCACAGCGCGACGAAAGGGCTTCAGGAGAGAGTTCGTGAAAGGAGCGCAGGCCGTACACTGCAGCGCTTTAGTGAGCGGCCCGCGGTTTGGGAGACGGCGGCCCCCTTCTCACGACGGGCCCCGCCTGTTACGCGTCCTCACGTCACCGTTGACCGCACCATTTATCGAGGGCCAAATCGACGTCGCGAATTCGAATCCAGGTCCGATCGGAGCGGAGGTGCGAGGCTACGTGGGTCGTCCGGCTCGCGCGTAGGGGAGCGGTGGCAGCAGCGGTTAGTGCTCCGCGCCACGCACCCGGTGACCTGGACTTGCCGGCCGATGGAGCGCCCTGTTCGCGAGTGTGGGGAGCGGTGGTGTAGTGGTTTGCGCTACGCTGCACTATGAACCTGGCGACCCGGGTTCGATTCCCCGTCACGACCAACACCCGTGACGATTATCTGAACCGGTCCTGGGCCTCGCCTAGGTCGACTCAGCCCCAGATGAGTACCTGGTGCAGTGTGTAAACAATGCTGGCCACCCACCCCCTCGTGCGCCGTGCCGGTCTTCATCAGCGCTACTCGCTAACAGCACTTGCCCCGACGGCACGTCGAGGCTGCACGGGGGGGGGATCTTTGCTTTTGTCTCTGCCGCCCGCAGCGAGTGACCGCGAGCGAGGGTGCCGCGGGACCGGAGCTCCTGGAGGAGGCGTCGGTGACGCTGAGGAAGCTGCAGCCCCTCCCCCGGCCGCCCCCCCCGCGGGTCGAGGTGCTGGGCCCGCACGCCGTGCGCGCCTCCTGGGAGGCCTTGCAGCCCGAGAGCGGTGTCCGCGTCACCTACCGGTGAGCGAGGAGGCAGCGGCGGGGGGCGCCGGTGGGTTGATGCTATCGTAGGTCTTGACCAGGTGAGTAAGGCAGAGACGTAGGTCTTAAGTTGCAATTCCCTACACCTCTGCTGTAGCGGACGGACGGGAAATATGGCATCTGTGCAGGACCGCCCTGGTCTGAAGCCACATTGGGGCTCCGACTCGGCCTCAGATGAGTACCTGGTGTGGTGTGCGAACATTGCCACTAGGGAGACAAAGGCGGTCGGGCGTGATTCTGGCCGCACCACCCCATCGCTCGCCGTGATAGGTACTTTTTAACAGCACTTGCCCCGAAAACCTGCCGGCTGCATGTGGGATCTGTCCCTTTATGTCTGTGTGTGTACGTGTGTGTGTGTGCACGTGTGTGTGTGTGCACGTGTGTGTGTGCACGTGTGTGTGTGTGCACGTGTGTGTGTGTGCACGTGTGTGTGTGTGTGTGCACGTGTGTGTGAGCGCTAGTGTAGCGGTTAGCGCACTGCACTACGAACCTGGCGACACAAGTTCGATTCCCGCTCGTGGCCAACCGCTAGTGACGATTATCTGAACTGGTTTTGGACCTCCCCTAGGTCGACTCGGTCTGAAACTAGTACTTGGTTCGGTGTGTAAACATCGCCACTAGGGAGACCAAGGTGGCCAGACGTGGTGCTAGACACCCCACCCCCTCGTGTGCTGTGCCGGCCTTCATAGGTGCTACTCGCTAACAGCACTTGCCCTAACAGTCTGTTAAGGCTTTGTTTTGTGTGTGTGTGCCCGTGTATGTATGCTGAACTTCTTTCACACCTGTACTGAGCCAACCGCGCTAATCAGGGGGTGCGTGCGGCGTGCAGCCTGTTTGACCGGGGCGAGGTGGCCTACACGGGGCCCGACACGAGCTGCGTGCTCTCGGGCCTGGAGCCCCACACCGCGCTCAGCCTCTCGCTGCAGGCCCTCTCGCCGGGGGACGACGGCCCCCTGAGCGCGCCCGCCACGGCGCTCACCGACGACGGCCCGCCGGGCCCGCCGGACGACCCGCGGCTGACCGCGTGCGGCCCCACCCACGCCCGGCTCAGCTGGCGGCCCCCCCGCCGCCCCGCCGGCGCCGTGCGCTCCTACGTGGTGCTGCGCGGCGACGCGGTCGTGGCGACGACGTCGGAGCTTGGCTGCCTGGTGGGCGGCCTGCGGCCCGGCGGCGCCGTGGAGCTGGCCGTGTGCGCCGTGACGGGCGCGGGCCGGGGCGAGAGGGCGGTCGCGGCGGCGACGATGCCCGGCGTCCGCGAGCACGCGCCGCGGCGGCTCGCGCTCGCCGCCGTGGGCCGGACCGAGATCTCCATTTCGTGGGAGCCTCCGTCGGCTCCGCTCGGCAGGTTCTTCAACTACGAGCTGCGCGTGAACGGCCGGGTCGTGTACCTGGGCACGGCGCGCGGCTTCGTGGTCCGCCGGCTGGCGCCGGGCTGCGAGTACACCTTCGTCGTGAGCGCCGTCACCAGCGAGGGGAAGTTCGAGAGCAAGGCGGCGACGCGCTGCATCCCCGGGGACGAGCAGGAGGGCGCTGCGAGGTACCGGCGGTGGTGGTGGTGGTGGCCGCACGCCTCGAGTCCGCGCCGTTTGCCCGCGGAGTTTCCCGCGCACGGTCATGCTGCTGCCCCTGGTGTCGCGATGGTTTTTCAGCGGCCGTCTGGAACGCGCTCTTCCTTCCAATGTTTTAGGAAGCGCTGATCTCATGCAAACTTCAGAAATTGCGCCGATTTGTTTTGAGAAATAATTCTCACGCGATTGCTGTGCCGTTACCGAGGCGCCACGGAAGAAGCGAAAAAATATAATTAAAGAAGCAGATTAGCCTTTTGGGCCAGGGCAATGACGTCGCATGTCATGCACGTGACGTCGTCTCCCGTGACCTCGCCTCCCGTGACCTCGCCTCCCGTGACCTCGCCTCCCGTGACGTCGCCTCCCGTGACGTCATCTCCCGTGACGTCTCCTGTGACGTCGTGCGCCGCGTGACATCACATCGTCGCGTTGAAGGGGACGTTTTTTTACCGCGAGCCAAATACTCCCAATAACAAACCGAGTGTTGCCATTTATTTATTTTCACAGGCCAGGATGAGTCTGCTGACGAGTAATCCAGAATGAACTCTAATTGCGTTCATCGAAATGTTACTTTAGAAAGCGATGCACGCCCGTCTCTCTTTGCTTCTCTCCTCGACGTTCGTTGTTTCTTTCTTCCTCCGTCACGGCAGCCGCAACGCAGCGGTGCAGCACCAACCGGCGGAGACGAGCGGCCGCGCTGCCCGGGAGGCAGCCAACAGCAGCGGCGGCAGCAGCGGCGGCGGCGGCGACGAGAGCAGAGGGGAGAAGCCGAGACGATCCAAGACCCTGCCGCTCCCCCCGCGGAGTGTCCCCCACGGGGGGGGCGAGGACGTGCACCCCAAGTCGCCCTGCGGCCTCGCCGACAAGGAGACGCCCACGCTCGCCCTCGTGCACAGGTCGGAGAGCCGCCCCCTCTGGCCGACCGCCCGCCCGCTTGGCCTTCGTCCACCTGGCCGGCTTGGCCGGCTTAAGCCCATTTAGGGGCCGTCCATAAATTACGTCACACACCTAAGGGGGGAGGAGGTCAGACATTTGTGACGATGTGTGACGAGGGGAGGGGGTTTGAGAAATGTGAGGTCACATCTCAAAATGCGCAACTTTAAATAAATATAGACAACACGTTCTACTTTTTGTGACGTCGTGTGACGAGGGGGGAGGGGAACTCGGGTCGCCGGGTTCGTAACACAGCACGCTAACCGCTTACACCACCGCTCCGCGCACAAACAGCGTAGCTGTGTGTATCTGTGTGTGTGCGAGAGAGGGAGCGGTAGTGTAGTGGTTAACGCGCTGCGCTACGAACCCGGCTACCCGAGTTCGATTCCAGCTCACGTCCAACACCAGTGACGATTATCCGAACCGGTCCTGGGCCTTCCCGTAGGTCGACTCAGCCTCAAATGAGTATCTGGTGTGGTGTGTAAACATCGCCACTCGGGAGACAAAAACGGCCGGGCGTGGTGCTGGCCACCCACCCCATTGTGTGCCGTGTCAGCCGTCATAGGTGCTACTCGCTAACAACACTTGCCCCAACGGTCTGTTGAGGCTATATGGCGGGGGATCTTTTGCCTTCTGTGTGCGAGAGACCAAACCCCTGATTGGTCGGCTCCGGCAGTGGACGGGCGTCGCCCCCCGGCTCCTACATTGTGATTGGCTCTCGCGGCACGTGCGCAATAGCCTCCCGCGTCTCGTCTCTCGCGCCCACTTGGACTGGACGTTGTCTGTCTTGCAGGAAACGGTCTGCGAAGTCGGTTCCCTGCAGCCCCCAGCAGCCGAGCGAGGCTCCCGCCCTGGCGACTCAGGTCAGCCTGACGTGACGTCACCACAGCCCCCCCCCCCACCCCTCTGCCCCCCCCCCCAGTACTTGAACCCTGACCCCATAGTCAGAGTGGCACCTCCATGTGGTGGGAGTGGCCACATCACTCGAAATCTCCAGCCTTTCTAGTGCACCAAGGACAAAGATCCCCCGTGTAGCCTTAACAGACTGTCGGGTCAAGTGCTGTTAGCGAGTAACACCTATGAAGGCCGGCACGGCACACGAGGGGGTGGGTGGCCAGCACCACGCCCGCCTGCCTTTGTCTCCCCAGTGGCGATGTTTACACACCATTCCAAGGTACTCATTTGAGGCTGAGTCGACCTAGGGGAGGCCCATGATCGGTTCAGATAATTATAATCGTCACTGGGTGTTGGCCATGAGCGGGCATCGAACTCAGATCGCCGGGTTCCTAGCGCGGCACGCTAACCACCACTACACTACCGCTCCCCACCATACACCATCTTAATACGCAACACTCACATGAACAAGCTGCTGCAGCTACCAATAACGCTGGAGACCGAGGTGGTCATCACTGTCGAGGGCGGTGCCCACCGTTGGCCATCGTTACTCTGACCCCGTTGGTGCGACCGACACAAAGTGATGACATGGTGACGAACGTCCAGAGCGCTCTATTGGCAATCCACGATCACCCCCTCCCCCCCCCCCCCCAATGTACGGCAACCGCGGTCATCGGGTCAGCGCTGAAGGTCACGCGCCACTCGATCCTCTCTCCCTCGTTGGAAATCCTCTCCGCGAAGAGGTCAGAGCGTTGCGCTGGTTCTGCCGAGACCTTGGATTCGAATCCAGGCAGCTTCCTGGATCCAGGTCTCCGGAATCGGCGATCGGTCTCAGCCCGGTCACCGATTGCCGCGCTAACCGCGTCATATTCCACGAGCTTTCTCAATTGTGTTCCCGCTCATTCCACCTCTGAGAGTGTAAACTGTTGGTTTTGTAGGCGTGCGACAAACTTGTGTGCAGGGGAACGTGAGCACAGCAAAGGAAAGCCAAAACTATTGGTAGATTCCATCGGCGTGCGTTTTTTGTCTGTGATAATTATTACAACAAATAATGAAAGAGCAATAACTGCATTTTTTATTTATTATTTATCGTTACATATTATAAATGATTAATACATCGCAATTAATTGATTGGAAAATTATTCATAATTAGTAATTAATTTTGACGATCAATACTCGTGAAATATTCAATATAAAGTAATCACAATTAGGTAAAATTTATTATTCGTAATAATAATCATTATTAATAATAATTATTATTATCTGGCAGCCGACGACAGCGACGACGACGCTGTGGGGAGCTGCAGCTCCCACCCTCCCACCGCACTCGCCCCGGGTGTTTGGGTTCCCTCCCCGTTGCTCTGCACCGGGCCGACGCCTCTAATCCTCCGTGAAAGCCCTGAACACCGAGCGCGACGCTGTCACTACGCCCCCCCCCCCCCCCCCCACAGGTTATTCGACTCCCTCTTACCGCGTCGGTCACGCGCTCTAATCCGACATGGTATTCACCGCGCACGCTCTTCGTGAATTCTCGCGTCGGGCATCTCGCGACGCGATCGGCGTCTGCGGTTTCCCCTCTGACCTCGCTCGGCAAGAGCGGATGAAGCGTCGATGATTCTCGGAGTAAATGCTGTTTTTCTTTCCCCCCCCCCCCTTCACCATGTCTTCATCTCCTGGGGCGGCAGTTGAATATTAAATCCCCGCGGTGGAGTAAAGTGTGGGTACTGCCGCCTCTTTCAAGGCGTACCGTCCAGCTTGGAAGAGTAGGCAGAAAATACCCTCTCCAGAGCCCCCTCTAGGGAAGGCCCTTCCGCTAGCGAGGCCCTGCCTAGAGCGGAGATCGTGAGTGAGACAACTGCAGGGCTGCGCCTTTACCTCTTGCATGAGGCCTTCCCCCCTGCACGCCGTAGAGCCGTGAATAATCAAGGGTGTGTGACGATGCACTCCAATTGTCACCGCGTCGTTCCGTATACGTGTGCGCTGTGCGTCATGGGTTCGCGTGACCCCCGTTACATTCACCACAATCTTGAACAAAAAAATTGTTAAAATATTTTTGTATTGAAAAAAAACTGCTATGACGAGATCAAACGGATGTTATCACGCCCGCAAATCTTGTCAGGCAACGCATTGCGCTGTGGGAGGGTGAGGATCGTTACCCCACCGGCGGCAGCGTCGAATCGTCCGTGTAAAGCTGCCGTCATAGATCGCGGTTTGCAGCGCCGGTGCTGCTCGTTTGGCTGATGCGAACCTGCGGAGTCGGCCCCGGCGCGCGAGTCACGGCCGCGCGCTCGGCGTGTCCCCGGCCAGGTCCACGCAAGGAGCCCGCGGGACGCCGAGACGCCACGGGATGGCCACGACGGCAAAGCTCGAGAGGGGAACGAGCGAAGAGGGCAGGGGGCGGCGGACGACGGAGAGCGGGGCGGGCCGAAGGAGAAGGAGGGCAAGGGGGAGGCCGCCGAGCCGAGGTGGCGACGGAGCGAGAGCGGAGGAGCGGCGACAAAGCTCGCGGCCAGGCCGTCGCGCAAGGTGACGGCGCGCACACCGGCACATTTCCTGCGAGTCGGGGTGATGGGTCGGGGTGAAGGGTCGGGGTGAAGGGTCGGGGTGAAGGGTCGGGGTGACGGGTCGGGGTGAAGGGTCGGGGTGAAGGGTCGGGGTGAAGGGTCGAGGGTGACGGGTCGGGGTGAAGGGTCGGGGTGACGGGTCGGGGTGAAGGGTCGGGGTGACGGGTCGGGGTGACGGGTTGGGGCTGAAGTGTCGGGGTGACGGGTCGGGGTGACGGGTCGGGGTGACGGCACTCTGCAGGCGTTCACGGTCGCGTCGCTCCCCGTGACCGATGGCACCCCCGAGTCCTCGGCCCGCTTGCTTAGTCACGGCTCGGCTCAGGCTCGGCTCTGGCTCAGTGAGTGTGTGTATTTGTGTGCGGGTGATTTCTGATTTAGTTGAGTGTGGGTTTGTGTCTTCTGAGTGAGTTTGTGTGTGTGTGTATGGATTTTTCTGAGTGCACGTTCTCTGACAACAGTTGGCACAGGTGGTGCATTTCAGTCTAAACTAAACAATTTATTTTTATTATACCAGGTTAGGCCTCACTGAGCTATATAGCTCTTTTTCAGAAGCTACCTTGCCACAAATGATAGCTCAAGGAAGTGGCTTATCATGTGCAAATGTATAGCAGCCAAATACTCAAAGATGCATGTTTGTAAATTTGGAGAAAAAACTGCAGGACCCGGAGAAACATCCACGTGACCACGGGGAGAACTTGCAAACTCCAAATATATAGGCATCAGGGTTGAGATCAAACCCACGACCTCCTGTATACCAGGTGAGGTAATTAACATCTTGCCACTGTAGCGCCCCAGTCAGCTCGGTCAATAAAACCAAAACACCTGGGTCTGTCCTGTGACCTGCCAGCGAGCCTTCCACATTTCACGTGACGGCCTCAAAGTGCACCTAGCGTGGCACAAGTGCTGTGGTGGAGCGCGGATGCGTGGCTGTATCCCACACATCCGTGCCTCTCTCTCATCTTCTCGCTGAATATGGCCCGATATCAAATCTCGGATCGGTCGATCGATCGGTGACGTCACTGTGCCGCTGAGTGCCGAATGCTGGCTGCGGTTGTGGCCATCGTCGTCGTCGTGTGACGGAGCGTTGGCGTTTGTGTCCAGGTGGCTCTGAACTTGGCCTCGGTGCTGGACTACGGCTCGCTGCGCCGCTCTCCTCTCGTGCACTGCTCGAGCTCGGACGCGAGCGACGTGGGAAGGTGACTCAACAACCTCGAGCTAATAAACGACGCCGCACTGCAGGACGTTCATGCACAACCAGCCCAGAGCCACTCAATATCATAACAATAATAACAATGTAAATGTTGCGTCGCCGCCACTGCCGCCGAAAAGTAGTCGCTCACCCTCAATGCTGCTCATTTGAGCAGGGCTCTTGACTTGTTCAACCTGGGAGGGTTTTTAAGGCCGACACCTTGCGCAGGTCGCCGCACGGCGCAGTTGGGGAGCCAGGAGCGACACCGCGAACGGCGCCGTACGTTAGCCAACCAATCAGCGCGGGCGGTCGCGAGAGAAGTTCGACGCGCGTGCAACGCTCGCTTGACCCCTTGTGCGCAGGTCGCCGGACGGCGCGTGGAGGGAGGACGCCTGCCGGTCGCTGGCCAAGGTGACGCTGCTGGTGGAGAGGGGCGGCTCCGCGGTGGAGAACCAGCGTCGCCGTCGTGCGGTGGCCGCCAAGCCTCTGCAACAGGCCTCAAAGTACGCAACCTGACGCCGCTCCGCTTTACCCGCTCAGCGCGTTCGTAACGGGAAGGTGCAAGAGAATAGTCATGAAACGTGCGCTTCAGGGTATTTGGCTGCTATAAATTTCCACATCGATGATAAGCTACGCTGTTGCGTTATCATTTGTGGCTAGGTCACTTCTGAAAAAGAGACGTATAGCCTCTGTGAGGCCTTAAGTGATCAAGTAGAAATTAGTTTTGTTTAATAATTTTCCTCGAGTTCCCGAATCCTGCGTTCATGTGGCTTGTTGGGATTGGCAACCCTAACCCCCGACGCCACGCTACGCCACATTTTAAGCACGCAGCATTTAATAAAATACATTAAAGAAGTCTAAGACTAAATTTCGGTATGTATGTATGCTGATCTTCTTTCGCACCATACGTAGGCCACCGTGATATTTGGGAAATATTCGAGCGAGCCCGAGCGAAGGAGGTGAATTGCACTACTGTAACGCAGTTTAGATATGCGCGCGACGAAGAGTCATTTCTGGAAAGGAAGGTGGACTGGCTTAGGCAAGTGGAAGCGTGGGAGAGAATTCCTCCTAAGATGCGATGGAAAGTAAACGAGTTGGCAGAAGGCGAACACAACCACGGGCCGGATCATAACGTACACAGAGGCTCCCGTCCAGGCCTCGGCGGACACTTTCCTTCAAACTCAGCTCTGCTCGGGGCGCAGTTGCGAGCCAGGAGCGATCCCACAAGCGCGCAAACGACGTCGTACGCAGCCGAACGATCAGCGCGGTCGACTGCGTACCGTGCGAGAGAAGTTTAGGGCGCCACGGTGGCGAGATGTTAACTACCTCGCCTGGCATGCAGTAGATTGTGGGTTAGGACCCGACCCTGATGCCTGTATATTTGGAGTTTGCGTGTTCTTCCCGCGGTCGTGTGGATTTTCTCCTGGTCCTCCGGCTTTTCCCACATTTAGAAGCATGCGTTTAAAATATTTGGCTGCTATATAAATTTCCGCACGATGGGCCAACTTCGTTGGGCTATCATTTGTGGCCAGGTCACTGCATAGCTCAGATGGTAAAATAAAAATATTTTTTTATATATACTATAGTTCGACGCGCGTACAACGCTCGCTTGACCCCTGCCGTGCAGGTCGCCAGACGGCGCGTGGAGGGAGGACGCCTGCCGGTCGCTGACCAAGGTGACGCTGCTGGTGGAGAGGGGCGGCTCCGCGGTGGAGAACCAGCGTCGCCGTCGTGCGGTGGCCGCCAAGCCTCTGCGACAGGCCTCAAAGTACGCGACCCGACGCCGCCGCTCCACCCGCGGGGACGCTGCCGCGGCGTAGCGGTTATCACACCGCGCTTCCAGGGCCCACGCGCACCGGTCCGCTGGCAGTCCAGCGGCAATCCATAGCAACATCACCCACTAAAGCCCAGCTGCAGAGTGGCGTCGTGTTTATGTTGCGCGCCGCATCGAGACGGGACGTGGGCGCCGCGGCGGACAGACGTCACTACTTCGCGTCAGTATGAATGGGTGCAGCCACGGGCGTCTATGGGCAGGGGGTCGCGTGTGGTGTGGTAAAGTGTGGGTACCCCCAACCAAGCCAGAACGTCTGTCCGGCATGGTTGGCTAAACGTGACGCTGGAGGTCCCGCGGAGGGAGAGCGACCGACCGTGAGGTCGTGTTCGTACTCAACGCTCGTAGGGTGCACATTCACTCGAGGCTTAACGTTTCACGTTTTTTGCAAAAAAAAAAATTTGCATGAAAAGTCACTGGGGAAAAAAATCACTGGGAAAAAGTAATTGGAAAAAAAATGACATTGTCAGATTAGATTTTTATAAGTCGCGATTGTATCACCAGTTATATTCCAGTGACACTATTAGCAACGTCAGAGCTTTCCCTACATCCTTTTAGCCGAAGGTTATTGTAAATGTTAGAGGACGAATGTGAAACTTACGCTCTGACCAAGATATCCCTGTCATTCCTAGTCATTGATTACCTGGTGTGGTGTATAATCATCGCCATGAGGGAGACAAAGACGGCCGGGCGTGAGTGCTGGCCACCCACTCCCTCGTGTGCCGTTCACTAACCGCACTTGCCCCGACAGTCTGTTGAAGGCTATATGGGAGAGCTTTGTATAGGTTCATCGTTATGGCTTAAACCGCCGTAGAATTGCAACTATTCGATAATGAAAAACCCGCATTGCGGACAACCCTGCACACCGCACCCATGAGCATTGCATCGCTCAATCCCCCTTCATTTCCAGCAAGGCGACGAATTCGACGCAGAGTCTGCCGATCATCGGCAAGTCCCAGTCTCTGCTCCCCAGCGCCCCCGGGACGCGGCCGTGCAGAGACAGCGGCGGGCTCGGCCTGCACGTCTACGACTGGAAGCGTACGTCGCACGAGCGCCTCGCGCATCTTCAACTATGAACTAACGAAAAAAATGTACGAGCTTTTTGTGCTTATTTTACCGGGTAAAAGGCCCCCGCTGAGCTACGCGGCTCTTTTTCAAGAAGCGACCTGGCCACAAATGATAGCGGCAACGAAGTCGCGTGGACATGTGTGTCAGCCAGAAAAACTCTGAAACGCGTGATGCTGATTCTAAATGTGGAGGGTAAAAAAATCCACGCGACCACAGGGAGAGAAAGAGACACGCAGACTCCAAATATACAGCCAGCAGGCGTCAGGGTCGGGATCGATCCAAGACCTCCTGCATACCAGGCGAGGTAGTTAACATCTCCTAGACACCGTGATTCTGTATGATGTGCAGTCTGCGACTGACCGTCCACTCTGACTCTCTGGCCTCTCTGTTGATGTTCTATGAAGAAGGGCCAATGCCTGAAATGGTCGCCTATTAAATATGTTTACTTTGAAGGCCGCACGCACACACACGGTGTTACTGACGAATGAGTTGTCTTGTGCACCCACTGCCAAGCCCAGCAGCAGCATCACCAATTGATGTGTTCACTCACTGAAGTGATAGTCACGAGAAACCATTTAAAAAAAAATCTTCCTTGCAAATGCAATGTTAAATTTACTTGGGCGAAAAAAAAACCACACGGAACGGCTACAAAGGCTGTGGTGTAATTTACCTTTACGCGTTGTGCTGCGTTGTCCGCTAGTGTTGAGGAGGCGTGCCAGACTGGCAGAGCTCACAGCACCCCGAATGAAACACTTCAAAGACAGGTAACGGCGCAACTTCACCCGAACAACAACGGCGAGTGGGGCGGAGGCGGAGGGTGGCGCGGTGGTGCCGCTTGTGCCTCACGGCGAGAAGGGCCTTGGTTTCCACCGTGAAGTTTGTATCCTCAGCAGCGTGGTTACAATTCTGGTCCACAACTCCGTGGCTGTCGCCTGATGATGCTGGTGGTTGTTGTAATTACCGGCGAAACGTCTCGGTACTCGAATTGTAAATGTTGCCGTGGGTTTATTCTCCAACGCACAAGCGGTGTGCTGTGCTTGCAACGAATTGGCACGTTTTGTTCACGTGATAAACCCTCTTACTAATTGGCCGTGTCGAGTGGTGACGGGTCTCACGACACGTTTATATTTACGCGAATATGACCCCAAAAAAACCCCTCTTATGATTGGGGCCACGTTCTGGCTCCTTTGCTGTTTCCCTTCAGCTCCTCCTGCTCCGGTTTGCTTGAGGTCCTCACGTATCATGAGTTGACGAGGTTGTCACTTTGTTGTTTCGAAGAGTTTGAGACCCATTCAAGACGTTTCAGACCGCCCCCCCCCCACCCGCACATGAATTGATGCCTGGAATATGAATTGATCCGTGTGTCAGGAGGCTACACGTACAAAACACAAACTGACAATAATTAATCATTATTGGCCCACATCTAACAGGATTCTTGCGTATAAACATCTGGCAGTTGACCAACATTGCTTCAAGCAAGCTGCTTGGCTGTTGGCGAGACACTGATTGTCAATGTGGATCCAGAGTGTTGCTTGCATTAAGCCAATACGGCTGCAATTCTGCACTCCCAGGAACCCGTATGGTCAGATGGGATGTGTAAAAAGTACTTTTTTTACCTGGAAGGACAGATACGTGAAGGAAGTGTGTCTACTGTACATGGCCTAACTGAAAGATAAATTATTCAGCAATATTCAAATACATTGTTATTAATATTAATTTATCCAAAGCGTCATCACCGAGCCTTAGCAATTTTGTTAGGAGGGTCCTTGCATTGGGATGTTTGGTGAAATCGAATCGTGAGAGTTTGCATGTTGGAGGAAACAGGAGTACCCGTGACACATGATTGATGTACGAAAGCTCCGCACAGATGGATTCAATCCACTGCTATACCGGCCACCTTGTGCCCACCTATAACACCTGGTATTCCCAGGCAGTCTGCTATTGCAGTAAGAACTGACCTTGGTCCAGGTTCGGGGAGATTTGACAAGGTTGATCACGTTCAGGGGTGATTTTGTCTGAGCCAAATATGCGACACAGACCTCACACTCCACATCTGTCAATCTGGGTGATGTGTGTAATATTTCATGAGAATGGGGAGAATGACGTTTTGTGGCTTTCTTAGGATCCCTGTCACAACCTCCACGACGCCAGGGCAGGAGAATCATGGCACAGGTACACATGCATGTGTGTGTGTGTGATTGTGTCTTTGTATGTGGGGATCAGTAGTGTAGCGGGGAGCGGTAGTGTACCGGGTAGCGCATTGTGATACGAACCTGACGACCCGGGGTTGATTCCCGCTCACGGCCAACACCAGTGACGATTATCTGAACCGGTCCTGGGCCTCCCCTAGGTCGACTCAGCCTCAAATGAGTACTTGGTGCGATGTGTAAACATTGCCACGAGGGAGACAAAGGCGGCTGGGCATGGTGTTGGCTACTGAGCTCTTCGCGTGCCGTGCCAGCCTTCATAGGTGCTTCTCGCTAACAGCACTTGCCCCAACAGTCAGTTAAGGCTGTGTGTGCACAATTGACTGGGTCATGTAGCCCGCATGCCCAGCCACCGCGTACCCAATCAGCTTTTGTTCGACCGGATAGAGGAGGCTAAAGGGACATGGCATGGGATAGAGAAGCTATGGAATTATCTTGATTTGAAGCTTTCGTGACTGCAGGAATCCATACTCTTTGGTTCTTTCGGTAAAGTCACGTAGGTAGAAAAAGAATAGATCACGACGTTTCGATCGCAATATACTTTAATTATTATTTAAAGTGAATTTGTAAGTGGCACATTGCCCCAGCGCCTCGCACAGACCAGCCGCCCAACGGCATCTTTGTAAACAACACATTTTCCATGTCTGCATACATACATAGTGCTGCACTTTCCACACCACGTTATAATGTCAACTTGTGACGCCCAGCCGCGCACCAACACGGTAATTCGCTCGCTCTCAAAGAGAAAGAACGGCTCCGAGGCGACGAACCACGCACGAGTGGGAAGGCAGCCAAATGTCTCCCCCAAGCTCTGCGATCCTCTACGTATGCAGATGTTATCGGCCAATCAGCACGTGTTCACATGTCGGAGGGAACAGGAGCGCCGGGAGGAAACCCTCGCGTGCGAGGGGGCAACTCTCTATCCCGTACAGACAGAACAGCCGGAGTCCACAGTTACTCTGCTGCCCTCTGGCAAGCCACAATATGGGGCACCTCCTCCATGCTCACAGGGAAGGGAGTTGGAACAGACTGAGATTCGTCTGCATCCTGCTACCGGCGTTCTAAATCGCGCGACGCGAGCCAGTTCTCTGCGCGCGTTGATGAAGCCGTGCTCCGTGCCGCCCCCGCAGCGCTGCTCATGCTCGGCAGCAGATTCGCGGACAGGCGAGCGGCGGGAAAAGGTGACCGCACGACGCTCCTGCCGGGGCTCTGGGTCCCGGAGCTCAGCAACGTGGCGGGGGGCGAGCCCAGCGCCCTGCGCTACCCCTCCGCTCGGCAGAGTGCGCGGACGCACGCCTTCGGCCGAGACGCTTCTCTGTGATCATTGGGGAGCTTATGTATAGCCGGTGCCGTCGTCAGCATCGGTCAATCTGCCGTTGGGTGATGGCCGTTCCGCAAGCCGTCGCCGCCACCTCTCGTGATCCTGCGGTGCGACAATCCACCCGGCGGCCGCAAGCGAACTGACCCTGGTCGTTCCGTCTCTTCGGCGGACGTCGCTCCTCGGATGCCGTTCCCGTGCCTGGATGCCGCTCCGTGATCGTTTTCGACCACCGTCCGTCGCGGGCTGTTGGCCATCCGTCGCGTCCTGCTCAAGCTCGCTCGCTCGCTCCTCTAATGAGTCGGGGGAGGACGTCGCGAACCTGCGTCCGCTCTCTCATCCCCGCGCGCGCTCCTCTCTCTGCCTCTCGGTGCGATTCCCACAAGTGTGCGTCTCTCTCTCTCTCTCAAACGCCTCGGCCACTCCAAAGTGCCTAACATCGTCACATCGTGTCTCGTCTGCAGCGTTAAAAGGGTTGCACCCCTCCCCCTCCCCCAGTGCCAGCTGTACATGTGCAGAACAAGGTGACTCGGTGCCGACCTGCAAGTGGACATTAGTCTGCCAGTAGGGGGGCGATTATTGCTGTGCATTGCTCCACCTGAGTAATTGTCCATATTTGGCAAAATTTGGAACAGTGACGCTGGCACAGAATGGCCGACTCTTTTTTTCAGAAAACATCGTGCGTATGTTTAACTTCTTTCGCACCGTACGTAGCCAACCGTGCCAACGACGCGTACTCACGGTCAATGCACAGTGCCGCGGTGTTAAGCAGGGTGGCCTGCCAGATTCGAACCGCGAACCGTTGCCATGAGCATCGAAGGTGCTGGCGCTTGGGTTGATCACGTGATTGGCTTGCCCTATAGTGGTAGAATTTGTGTGAGAAAAAGTGTTACCCTTCCATTAGCTATGAGAGTGGATCCCCAACTTTGAATGCCCCAAGAACACCATCAACCCTCAAAATGTGGTGTTTTTTCGAACAAAACAAAAAAAATCGTATCTGCAATGGTCCCTCGGACCTCTACCCACGGCCTTGTATGTGTGCATGTTGAACTTCGTTTGCACCATACGTAGCAAACCGTGCTAATGGGATGTGCGGGGGAAGGACAACAAACTAAAAAGAAAGAGCAGTTCTAAAGAAATGATTTTTCAATCTGGATTTAAATTGCATATCTCCCAGTGGCTCCCGAATATCGGAAGGAAGAGCGTTCTGGTATTGGTTGTAATTGGCTGTAATTGGCCACGGTCATTTACGTTATGGCAAGCTTCGGGGCCACTTCCTGGAGTCGTGGAGTTCTTCCATTACTAGTACGGTACATTACTTACAGGGTGTGTGTGTGGTGGGGTAAGAATGATTTTCCCTTCAACGCCTTTTTCCGGAACGCATCTCTTAACCAGCGCGTTAAACGAGGACTCCGCTGCCACTGGGTATCCCAAATCGCAAAGGTCGAGGATGGCCACGAACCGCCACAAGAGGTCGCAATCAATCTGCTGAGTTGTAAGTAGCCAGGGGATTCGTGCGTCTGGACAGGGGCCAGCAGCAGTAGCAGCTGTGGTAAGTTTTTATATCTGCGTAGCAGCAAGGCGGAGGGGAGAGTGTTGGGACTCCCACCCCTCGTATATAAAACACGACACAGACACGCACACACAGTCTCACGCACACACACACACCGTGATTATGTGCGTGGCACGCCTTCGTAATATTGGACCTTTGCTCAATTTGCAAATTACGAAGCAGCAAAAGGCCTCGATTGTGTTGGCAATCTGAAGCGCCAGCACCGCCACGATCCGAGTGGTCGCCGCCGTCTCTCTCTGAGCGGTGTCGTTTTTGTTGGAGCGATTCGTGGCGTGGGCGTGTGGGTGGCTGGATCACCAAGATGCAAGCCCTGTGGGTGCAGGTGACTCTGCTGCACCTCCTAGCAGTGACGGCTGCAGCGCAGGTGAGTGATGGTGCGAGGTGACTCACAAATACAAAGGTGCCCCCCCCCCCCCGCCTGTAACAGATTCATCTTCTTGGTTCTTTCGGTAAAGTCACGTAGAATGGTGAAGAACAGGTCTGTCGATTAGACAGACTCTGTCTTATCGACAGACCTGTTCTTCACCTGAGGACGGCTGCTTGCGTTGTGGCCGAAACGTCGTGAGAATTATTTTATTATGTTTTATTTTATTATTTCCATTCTACGTGACTTTACCGAAAGAACCAAGAAGATGAATCCCTGCAGTCACGAAAGCTTTAAATCGAAACTGTAACAGATTGTTGGGGCAAGTGCTGTTAGCGAATAGCAGCACCTATGAAGGGCATGAAGGGCGGGACTTGCACACCACTACCATCATCACTTTCACAGGCACCACAACCACCACGATCACACCCACCACTCCACTCCTGCCATCGTCGCGATCACCACCACTAAACCACCACAACCTCAACCACCACACCACCATCATCACCACCAAGACAAAGGCACCCTGTATAGCCTTCACAGACTTTTTGGGGTAAGTGCTGTTAGCGAGTAGCACCTATGAAGGCCGGTACGGCACACGAGGGGGTGGGTGGTGGGGGTGGCCAGCAACCATCGCACCAGCTACTCATTTGAGGCTGAGTCGACCTAGGGGAGCCCCAGGACCGGTTCGGATAATAGTCACCGGTGTTGTCCGTTGAGCGGGAGTCGAACTCGGGTCGCCGGGTTCGTAGCGCAGCATAGCGCTAAACTGCCGCACTACCGCTCATCAGCACACGACACACACACACGACACACACACACACGACACACACACACGACACACACATGACACACAGACACGACACGTGTGATGGTTATCATTTACACTTGGCTCAGCGAGTGAGTGGCTCGCAATCTGAAGTTTGCCAGTTCCCATTCTGCTGATAGCCTTGACTCAGCCCATCATCATCCCCGCGGGGGGGGGGGGGGGTCGATAAAATAGTTACAACTTAATTGGCCAAGTCAACAATGATCGTCCTATGGATAGACTCGTCCCTGCCGTGGGAATGGAATTTCCACCACTGGCTCAGGACTGTAAAGAGTGGATGAGCACCAATGCCTCAATGCTCACTTGACCCAGGACATCACTCAGACTAATCGAATTACATATACATAGTCCATGGACCCCTGCCACAACTTGAGTTGTATCGTCCAATATAACCTCGTTGGACCTAGCACGTTACCAAAAAATCCACTTTTTAAGGAGGCACACACAGAAACTCTGTTCGCCACTTGTGATGGTGCTGCTGCTGTTGCCGGATTAGCCTCGGCCACAGCGCACTTGAATGAACCTGCTATTAGCTCGGTCGGCTATGTACGGTGCGAAAGAAGTTCGGCATACGTACATGGGAGGAGACTTGCTGTGGAGTTAGCTTGCTATTAGCCAGGCGGCGGTGGTGGCTGGCTGTCGAGGCAAGCACTGTGGAGGTAGCGAAGGTTGGTGGATCGTGTAAAGAATGTTGTGAAACTCCCTTCCCGTGCGAGTCGAGGAGGTTGCCGGACCCTGGCTCGCTAGTAGAAGGCGGTGCAGCAAATGTGGACTCCGTCCGTATGGGATAGAGTGTTTCCCCCTCGCGCGCGTGAATTTTCTCCAGGTGCTCGGGTTTCTTCCCACATGTCAACACTTATTAATTTGCCGGTAGCATCAGTTTTCAGTTTCATTTAATTGGTATATCCCTGTGAGCCATTCGGCTCTTGAATCGGGTGCAACTGCAACAAACAAAAATATGAACAAGAAAACATCTTCAAGTGACTATGTGCAAACAGAAAAATCCAGGGAAAAAACTGCAAAGTCTTCCAGAAAAAAAGCACCGTACACCAACGCTGTGTGCAAAAATCCCAGTGGGATGCAAGTCAAACAACAACAACAACAACAACCACAAGACAACTTAGATTAAAGCCATCATTCTAACTCCGTACTACAACAAACAAACATGGCCAAACAAAAAAAACATCTTAATATATAGAGGACCGAGGAGCTTCGACAATTGCTGGAGTCGTCTTCTCTAGGAGAGTGGATGGATACTCGCGTTTATTGACAGTCAGTGTGGTGCATCTGAGCTCCGTGTGTACCCAGGCACATGGGTTCCTCTTTCCATCTGTAATTCCTGACAACGCATCTCTCCAAACCTTCTTCGCCCACTTTTCACATGTTGATCCATGTTTGTCAGGGTATGGACCACGAAGCTGAACGGTGGAGCGAATGAGCGAGCGGCAAGCAATTCAAACCTTAACCCAGGTCATTATCCCACGGTGGTCGATAAAATCCGTACCACTTTGTGGAGAAGTCACCGGCATTTGACCTATGGTTAGCCTCGCTCCTGCCATAGAAACGTGGAATTTCCACCACGGGCTCTGCAGGGCTGTACGCAGGATGATGAGCACCAATGTCTCAGTGCTCATTTGAGTAGCAGGAATTCACTTGGACTTAAAACGCAAATTATTGAAAGCTCCGTACAACAGGGGAAACATCATCCCCCAGGTGAGGAGGAGGTGGATGTTCCAGATGTGATGCGTGAAGAAGGCACCATCACAGCCCCTCGCTCTGTGAAAAAAAAACAAAAGTACCTGGACCAGATGGAGGGGGAGGGGGGAAATGCTGTGGAAATTATCCAAGAATTGGAACCGGCTGTAAAAACAACAACATTAACGGAGTCATGTTTACTCAATGTTTACGCAGAAATGAAATACCTCGTTTGGGGAACGATGCCTCAATAAATTCTTCACTGCAACAAAAAGTAAAAGTGATGCGAAAGTGCATTGAAGCATTACGCAGAAGGATAGCACATAGGCCTCCTGTCACGTGCGTGGCAGATTACGTGGGGAGATCGTGGGGATTGTGCGACCATACTTCACCGCGTTGGTGAGTACGGCGGTGATGAGAGGGGGAGCGGTAGCGTAGTGGCTAGCGCGCCGCGCTGCCAACCTGGAGACCCGAGTTCGATTCCCGCTCACGGCCAACACCGGTGACGATTATCTGAACCGGTCCCGAACTTCCCCTAAGTCGATTCAGATGAGTACCTGGTGTGATTTGTAAACATCGCCACTGGGGAGACAAAGCCGGCCGGGCGTAATGCTGTCCACCAAGGCCGTAATTATAAATATTAAAATATGCTCAAAATCTCCCCCAAATATATTGCTATAAAAATATGAAAACAGTTATAATAATTGCTATGATATGTAAATAAAAAGAACAATTTGCTAAAACTTTGCCACAATATCTGGACTTGTCTTCATATAAATCAATGCATTTGCTGTTTATATGATTGTGGTTATGGTTGTACTTTATTAATCCCTAATCTCAAACATTACATACAATGAAACAAGAAATGGTAAAAAAAAAGTAAAAACAGAGCAATGTAATAAAATACATTATTAGACATTATTGTAAAAAATAAATAAAAAGTCCATCCCATGTGTTAGTGAATTTTTTTACATTTCAGGCAGGAAATTAGTTTAAAAATGTAGATTTTTTTCCTGGGTTGGGACCCCCAGACCCCCTGGAAGATTTGGTCCCCCCCCAATGTTGACTCCATGGCTACGGCCCTGCTGGCCACCCCCCCCCCCCCCCGTGTGCCGTGCCGGCCTTCATAGGTGCTACTCGCTAACAGCACTTGCCCCAACAGTCTGTTAAGGCTATACGTGGGTCTTTGTCTTTGTTGCACTGTGTATGAGCGCCGTCCCACACGGAGTGCGTGCAGTAGTCACCTGTTTGCTATTAGCTGCCCGTGTTATTGTGACTTTCAGCATCAGTTGTTGTGTTGTCAGGGCTGGGTGTGTTGAATATTTTGCCGCACAAGCCTTGTGAGTTTAATTGTTCCAAGAATCACAAAACACTCTAAGTTCAGCAATAAAAACACACGTGTTTCTCCGTGTGTGTGTGTCTGCGTGACCCACGCACAACTGAAACCGTAGATGTTTAAACAATTCCTTACGGTCGTATTGTTTTCAAATGCTTCCAATACGATTCAAAACCGCGTCTCAACAATGACCGATTGGATAAATAGGCCATCACCGGGTGTCCTTTCACGGGGTAAATATGTGTGTGTGTACTCCTGCCTCTTCCAAGGCGTTTGGGCCTTCGTGGAAGAGTAGACCAAATGCCCTCTCGAGAGTCGGTCTCTCCAGAGCTCGCTCTTGGCGACGTCCTTCCGCCAGCCGTTGATGTGAGCAGGCCACTGCATAGAAGGGTGTGGCGCGAAACGTCGGACATCGTGCCGAAACGTTGTTGTTGCATTTTAAATGTGTTAAAGCCAAATTTATTTTCTTCTCGATTAACCATTGAGGCATTGGTGGTGGCTCATATCCCGTTAACAGCTCGAAAGCGACTGTGCTGGAAATTCCACATTCCCATGGCAGGGGTGAGTCTCTTGGGAGGGTAACCACTGCTGACATCCCCACAAAGTGGTACTGATTTTACCGACCTCCCCCCCCCTCCCGAGGGGGATGATGGACTGAGTCAAGCCCTTAACCAGAATTTGAACTCACGACCTTCCTGTTGCGAGCCGCTTGCTCTGCCCACCCCACGTCGTCACGTGATCACGTGCCATACATTACCCATCGAGGAGATTATACGTTAATAAGCAAAGCAAACCTTTCCCTCGTCCTGTTTAAGTGGACATATGAAGTCAATGATTCCACTAACATTTCACAGACTCATCTTCTTGTTTCTTTCGGTAAAGTCACGTAGAAGGGAAGTAATAAAATAATAAAAATAAAACATAATAAAACAATTCTCACGACGTTTCGGCTACAACGCAAGCAGCCGTCTTCAGGTGAAGAATGAGACACTACCAAACTAGGAGCTTATATATAAGCTGCATTGGGGGTTGAAGAGCGCCTTAACAAAAAGAATGTGCATGTGAAGAGGAATTTAGCATATTCATGGAAAATGCGTAGGCGTTGGGCGGGGGGGTGTCAAAGTCATATTATGCCCATGC